CGAAACGCATTATGACGCATATTCTCCGCATTGACACGCTTAAACTTGTGATTCTTGATTCTCGACCTCGACGCATCGCAACGCATTACGCATTTTAGAACATTGTTTATTTCTAAGCTTGTATCCAATTAAATCTCTTTAAATTTTTTTTATTAATGAAATTCATATAAATGTTTCATTAAAATTCATTAAAATTTTAATGGGTAACACCAGATTTTAATGGATTCTTTAATGAATTTTAGTAGAATCAATTAAAATTTCTATTAAGAACAATAAAGACTTTTAAAATTTATTAAAATCTCAGTTAAGAATACCGATAAATTTAATCTTTTTGTTGTTTGTAACATATCCTTAAATTTTATCATATCCATGAAATCACTTGAGTGATGCTGCGTGTACATCCTACTCTACCACTTGATTTACATTTTTTACACTTGACAAGATCTCAAATAATCTTTGACAAAAATAACTTTAATCCAATCATTAAAAAACTACAACATATTCGGGGTGTAAAGTACGGATGTACATGTAGCATCCATCCTAGAAAAAAATTAAGACTAAAATTAAATTATTTGTCTTTATAATCTTTCCTAAAAAAATTGTCAAAATAACGAAACAGAAACTTTTTTAACTTGAACCTAATAAACGAAATAAATCAAATTAAAAAACAATAAAAATAAATCATAATCTATTTCAAATCTTTCACGGACAGTGAATGTGGAATTTCGTCATGTTCCACTTTCAATTTCACCAATCATCCATTCCCATCAACACCACAATCCTAAATAAAATAATCTGGAGAGTTTTCAACTTTTTTAAATATTAAATTATAATTAAATATAATAAGTTGTTGGACTCGCGTGTATGCATTTTGATCAACACTATTTGTAAAAATAATAATGTTACTCTTCTCGAATAATGCAATTTAAGTGGCATTCATGTAAGGGCAAAAGTCTCATTTAATTATCTATAAATTAAAAATACCTAAATTGATATTACAGCACCATTATAATACCAATGATATCATAACATTATTTCTCTCGACATCATTGCTTGTTATGTGCCCATGGGTCCACATTTGCCCTGGGGCGGGGACGAGTAAAGGGTGCCATGTCCTGTCCCGTTCATTTTTTTTTAGAATTTAATATTTTAAATGAAAAATTTCATGAAATTTCGTTAATTTTAATAGAAAATTGTAACTAAAATTATTTATCTCAATCTAATAAATACGAAAATAAGTTATCAAAAATTAAAAAAAAAAAAATTAAACGGGATAGTAAACGGGGGCAAGGACCAGCCCTGCCTCGCCTTAAACAGGTAACGGGGTGAGTAATTGCTTGGTGTGGGCGGGACCGTTGTCATCCCTATAATTGATGTTGTGCATATATGCATTCAAGAGAATCTTTCTATTACTGAAATATGGAACTCAATATTCATTATCACTATTAAATATGGAAAAAACAATTTGTACAAGCTTTTTTTCTTTACACGACTTTTACAGGTGCTGCGTTGATAGAACCTGATTGGACCTATTTTTTTTTCCAACTTCCAATGAAATGTTGTGAAGTGTCATCTGAAAAAAAAAAAAAAAAATTCTGTTAAGAAATTCTGTATGTGTAGAATTGTTCATTAATATTACATAATGATTAAACATTGCAAGGAATATAAGCCCTTGTTTGATGTAGTTAAAAACCAAATTTTTAGTATATTTCGACAAACATCCATTAAATATGTAATTGAAAAATTAGTAAAAATTGTGAATCTCATCAAATGTGTGATTATAATTAATTGTTAATTTTAACTTAAAATTTTATCCAGTCTGAGAGCATTAATCTTGCCATAGAAATTGCTTTTTAAACCGTTGGTAGCAGCCATTCTTGACTTCTTATTTCACATGTGGGACCTAGTTGTGGAAAGAAACGGTCAATTTTTGGATTAAAATCTGCTTAATAGTGGTCCCAGACACCTTAAAAAGGGACTCGATGTACAACTCATTGGTCTTCAGTAAATCCTTCTTCACCTCTAAATCCTTCGAACAAAATCTTCTCTGCTATGGCGTCCGCCGGCAAGAAAATTGAACGTCCAGTTATGGATAATCCTTTCCTCAACATTAAAGTAAACCCGGACGGATCAGTTAAAAGAGATCCTGAAACCCGAAATCCTGCAAATCCAGATCCTAACGTCGCCGGTGCTGTTCTCAGCAAGGACCTACCCCTTGATGCGAACAAGAAAACCTGGCTCCGCCTTTACATTCCCCGGCAAGTAGAAATCCCTTCATCTTCCAGCAAATTGCCGGTGATTATATACTACCATGGGGGAGGATTTGTCTTCTGCAACGCAGATTCTGCTGTTTATGATGTTTTTTGCAAAGGGCTTGTGGAAAAAGTTGGTGTAATGGTGATTTCATTGGATTATCGTTTGGCACCGGAACATCGGCTTCCGGCGGCGTATGAAGACGCCATGGACGGACTGTACTGGATTAAATCAGTGAAAGATGAGTGGCTGAGTCAATACGCCGATTTAAGTAACTGTTTCTTGTGTGGAACGAGTGCAGGTGGAAACCTAGCTTACCATGCCGGATTAATGGCGGCTGCAGCGGCTATGAAGCTCCGACCCGTGAAAATTAACGGGCTAATCCTTCACCACCCGTATTTCAGTGGAACAAAACGAACCGAGTCGGAGGAGAATCTGAAGAATGACCCTCTTTTGCCTCTTTATTCTATTGATCAGATGTTTGATTTGTCCTTGCCAGAAGGAGCTGATCATGATCATGAATATTGTAACCCGTTGGTGAATGGAGGATCAAAGAATATTGATTTGATGAAGGCCATGGGCTGGCGGGTTCTGGTTACGGGTTGTTTTGATGATCCGTTGATGGATGCTGGTTTGGAGTGTGCCAAGATGTTGGAAGGGAAAGGGATGCAGACAGTGAAGTTCTTTAGTGATGGGTACCATGGCATGGAGGTTTTTGATGCATCCATGTCTGGCCCTCTCTACGATTTCATAAAAGATTTCGTACAATGTCGATCGAACGAGTAAAAGTCATGATAAAATATTTCGGTGTGGAAAGAGACACCGTACATAAGAATTTTCAATCGAATTTTGTTGGCCTAAATTATGAATAATATTTTAATCTAGGTATCTTCTATATCTTTATTTCCTCATCATCGACTATGATTATGGTGGCAAGTCTCGGAGTGTTTTCGGTTCTCTTTACATAAAGAATGTTTTTATTGAGGTTTTAAGAGTACCACTTGTATCAAGTATCGATTTAGGTGACAACTGCATGACATTTAATGATATATTTGTTTAAATAAAATGTCAAATTATTCATTTAATTGAAACTACCAAATGTGATCATCCAAATTGGTGCTCTAACACCTCTGATTCTAGATAGCATTATTCTTTTGGCTAGAAAAATTGACGGTCTTGGCCAGAAAGCCACGTCCTTCGGCCCGCCATGACTCCATCGAAGAGTTTTACATCAAAGCCAATGGTTTAACTCCTTTGGCCCAATTAGAGTTTGTTCGTTATGGGGTCAAGTTGGCATCGGGTGGTAAAGACATTGACTTGATAGCTATTTCTTTTGTCCTTTTTTCATGATTACTATTCAACAATTATGGCAGAAATGTGGTAGAGGGGAAGTTTCTATATTATGAGCGTGATGGGTTGAATAATTTATTTGTGTTCATAAGTTAATCAGTAAAATCTTATCTATGAATTATTTTTGTAGTGATTATAATTTGAATTGACTTCATTTATGTACGTACGTACGTACGTCTCTATCTATATCATATTAGTGGATTGGCTAAAAAAGGAATGGTAATTAGTAGAGTTCTTAAGAACCTTGCTACACTGTGGGCCCCGCACATGTGAGAGAGTTGTATACCAAGTGTGTACAAGTAGCATTTTTCGTGTTCTTAAAACCCTACATCTCAATTTGTGTCTGGTAAATATGTAATTGAATTATTCGAATGGAAGTTGTAAACAAATTTTTAAATTGAATAGTGAATTTTTGGTAAATTAGAAACATCCAACAATCTTTCAACCTTCAACTAGCAGTGAACACAATTCGTTTAAATGATGTTTGACCCATTTTCAAGTCAGATCATTCAACGCGATTTGAAAAAGTTTCAAAATTAAACCAAATTATTTCACTAATCAAAAAGAAGGGAGCAAATATCCCATTTTTCTCACCACTCAGCTAACTAATTAAAATTAATTGTTAACTTTAATTTAGACTTATATCAACTTTTATAATTAAATAAAATATGGGCTCATTTTGTACGTGACAAAGTCCAATATGGTGCTCTGTGTGTCATACATGTATCATCTTTCAATCATCTTGCTTGTATCTTAGTGAGTCCCCGTTTGTTGGAAATTATAATCCAATTTAAAGTCAATAATTAATTTTAATAACATGTTTCAAGGGACTCACAATTTTTCAATTACACATTTCATCAACTTTCATCAAAATCTATTAAAAATACGATTTTAATCTCTACCAAACAAGGACTAAGTTTCTTTGAAAATAATGATTTCATTAGTAGCTATTTAAGATTGGTTATCCATTGATAAAAGTATTTTACATGCTTAAGCTTGCTTTTATCTACCTAATTTAGTTAAATTATGTTAATTCATTAAAAAAAAAAAAAACTTGGGGTGCATTTGGCATGAAGAAAGATGAGGTGGAACTTAATTTAAGCTGATTCGAAGTAATTAAAAATAAACCTGATTGTACATCATCAATATGAAGCATTAACATAGTATTTGGAGGACATTCACAAACATCGAGGTAGGGATGATTTTGTTTCCTTTTTTTTTTTTTTTTTTATATCCAGGTATCACAGCTTATACCAGACTATGTCCGGAACCACCCATTTCCGGCCACTCAGTGATGGGTGGATATGCCCAAATTGACCAGGATCCGTGCACCCTTTATACTTCTGGCCCCAAGGGAGCCTTCCTCCATCGATATTACATCACCAAACTGCTCCATCCAAAATGAGTAATACACCACTCAGTTGCTCCATCCAGGAATCGAACTCCGCACCCTGTGATAGTTACAGGCCATCTTCGAAAGCNGATCAGTGTCTGTGCACCATTTATACTCCTGACCCCAAGAGAGCATTTCTTCATGGATATTACATCACCAATCGGCTCTATCCAAATTGAGTATTACAACACTCAACTACTCCATCCAGGAATCGCACTCCTGGCCCCAATGATTTTGTTTCCTATTTTGATTCAATTTTACTTGGAAAGAAATTAGGGCACTAGTTTGGACCTAATTTTGGGACTATAAGTACAATTTTTCATCATTCATACAAAGGGGAAGCCTCGAAGAAAACTACGGGAAGCCTAAGATTGATCAAGATCCATTAGGATTTATAAATTCAATTTGTATTTATATAATCATATGATGCTCGACTAATTAGATATACGCTAAGATTACATTGAACTCTATAATATGAATTTTTGATATTAAATTCAGATTTTGACTTTAAATGTTTGTTTGATTTTAATGATTATTAGGATTTTATTGCTTTTTAATAACTTGACCATTAATTGATTAGATTTTTTAATTTCTATTTCATTCGAGAGAAGTAATGTAATAACAATCATTGTAAATTTCAATAGTGGACAAAGATATATCGTTATTCTTCTCATGAACTTATGAATGTTCTTATGAATTAATGCATCTTCATATAATCGTATCCTTCGTACATCTATAGAAATGTCGTATGTATTAACATGTTTAATTCTACTCGAGAGATATTATTGAATAAAATAATGTTGGTCCTAGGAATAACCACAAACTCCAAATACAGTAAAGTAAAAACGAGAACACCTAGATTTTTGGTAACAAAGAGCCTAGATATTTAGCCAGTTAAGGCTTGTTTGAAAGTTTTTTTTCACCAATTTTTTTGTAGCACCGTTTATGAGAGGTTGAAAAATCGGTGCTTGCTAATTTTTTTTTTACACTAATTTTGGATGGTTTAAAAATTACTTAAAATCACCGATATAATTTTGACATGTTCTCTCAACCCATCAAATCGGTGGATTTTGGTTGTTTCTCATATTCTCTTCTAATTTTATCATTTGTAAAATAATTATCTCCAACCAACATATTTTGTTCAAAATTAAATTATAAATAAAAATATATTAGCTAAAAAAAATTATTTATAGGTCAAGAAATTACTTTATAATTAAAAAGAATTACTTATAAGTAAAACATTACTTATAAAAAATCACTTTTATGTAAAAATTTGTTTATAAAGTAAAAAATACTACTAATAAGATAAAAATCACTTATAAAATATAAAAAAGTTACTTATTTTACGTAAAAAATCTAACTTACATATAAAAAAATCACTTATAAATAAAATATCACTTATGATGAAAAAAGTTTCAAAGAAGAAATTAAAATTTTTACTAAAGGGCATATATATATTTTTATCATTTTTAAAAAAATTTCAGAATTGGTAAATAATAAACTCTCAAGCAAGAGTTGATCTGTTTTATAAACTGTTATTAAAATCACTCAAAATCGATATTTTGAAAAAGTCACCCCAAAACTCCCAAGCAAGCCCTAAGGATAAACTACTCTTAACAAGGCTCAATATAATAGATATAGAGCTTGTTTGGAATGGATTTTTGGGGGAAGAATGTGTAACGAACACTCGAGGATTTTGACTAATCCTCCTCATGATATTTTAAGATGAAATTCCATGATTAAACGATTTCCTGTTTGACAATCATTATTTGAAAACTCTCTTTTTACATATTCATTTTCAGCTAAATTCAAATTTTTTCCACTTTTTAATAATATATTCTCCTAAAAGTCACTATTCAAGCCATCGTTTTTCCCGAATAACAGTTGTCGAACATGGGGCTTAGCCCCTGTTTGGCTCCCATTAAATTAAATTACATTACATTAAATTTTTCTTTCTCTTCATTACAACCACATATTCATCAAATAAAATAATATTACATACAAATCTAAAACTTTTCATTACTTTTCCACCACACATTCTCCCATCAATCACTATTTCAAAAATTTTCAACCCTAAAAAATGCCAAATAATGGGAGCCAAACAGGGGCTTAATCCACTTGCTCAATGATAANTCTCATCAATCACTATTTCAAAAATTTTCAATTATTAAAAATGTCAAATAATGGGGACGAAACAGAGGCTTAATTTAGACTTTCAGCAAGCACATTCAAATTGTCTAAACATGACGGTTAAGAAGTGAGTAAAATTGAATAATTACCTGGACAAGCAAGGACTGCTTCTCTTTCTTCAAGACTTCGAATCTTGAAGCAAGACTCTTGTAATTATCCATGAGTATGCTGTAATCTCTCTCAAGTAGCTTAGATTTCCACCTGGCTCTCTTATTCTGAAACCAAATCGCAACCTGTCGAGGCTGCAAGCCCAGCTCTCTTGCAAGCTGGACCTTCTTCTTCGACTCGATTTTTGTTTCAGAATCAAACATGGTCTCTAAACACCGAATTTGTTCGTCGCTAAATCTTATCTTATTCTTCATCTTCTTCTTAACTGATGATGATGTTGTGTTCATGTTTGCAGAACACTTGGGATTTTCTCAAAATTCTTTGAAAATTGAAGCTCTAAACTAATTTATAATGATTAGGAAATTGGAATTGATGGCTTTGCGTGTTCATAAACTTCTTGGCCGTTGATGTGGCAGAATCTTATGGTTTCTGGTTTGGTGAGGATTCTGAGTTATATATAGTGACATATATACAAGCCAATGGTGCGTACGTGTTTAGCTTTTCTTGTATTAATGCCTTAAGAATGTCTAATAATTAATTTCTTGTTGTCTTTAAACTGCTTTTTCTTGTGTCAAATGACTCGTTTTGGACATGATGCATGTATTGCAGTTAATTACAGATTTGCTCCCTTCAGTTGTAGTAAAATTTCAAGTTGGTTCTTATAGTATATTTAGTTCCAAATCAGCAAAAATTTCAGTCTAGCTTCTATATAGTAGACATTGGTTTAAGATAAGAGATTGTGCATGTACTTCCAAAAAAAGTAAGGCCGCATACACTCGATGGACATGTTGAAGATAAAAATTAAATGATGTAAATGGACCTGGTTAAATCCATCAAATCCTAGTCATACACTATTAAAGTTAGAATTAAGGTGAGACTCGAATTCTATTTGAAAGACTATTTGGGGATTCTATTTGAAGTCAACTTGGAAATTCTAATTGGAATTCAATTTGGAAGTTTAATTGAGAGTTAATGATTTGTATTGGACTTGAAAAAGACTTGAAGGAATTCAATTTACAATAGGAAGGAATAAATCGTGCAAGGAGAAGTATCGCATCAACGCTCAAGCGCTTAGAACAAGAGTTCCAGCACTCGCTATCCGTGAGAAGGGCGCTTGGCCACCGCTCTACATCCGTCGAACCGTAGCTCAAGCAGCGGTCATATACAAGGAATGTTTAATTAGCGATTTGACAAATTTTTTAATCATATTTTATTACAAACACTCTATTATTGTGTAGACTTGTTATAGTTGAACTCCACCACATCTTATGTTCTATTTACACGAGGAGTAAACTTTTAGAAAAATCAATCTTTACATTTTACACAATAATTTGTAATCATTCATTATTGATATTAATAAATTCTCATCTTCTGTTAGTGGTATATTTTTATTACGTAGATCTTGTGTTGTTTGATTTTCATATTACCATACTATTCTCGTTTCTTTATTTACTAACAAGTGGTATCAGTTCGGTATGTAATACTTAACAAAAACCACTATGTATTAAACGTAATGTTTAATTTCATTGAAATGCAGTGCTAAAATAATGTTGACTACCTGACAAAAAACTTTACTTTCAATTAGTTTTAATGTCCATAGTCGATCAAAACTGGCTTCGGGATTTTGTCATCCCATTTCTAACATGATTAAATCTTGTGTGACAATAGGATTAAAATACAAAAAGTACATAATGGTGTTAAAAGGATTGTCTGATTCCATTGCTGTATAGTGCTAAAATAATATCGATTACGCGATGAAACAATTTACTTTCAATTAGTTTCACCCTTATTAAAATATAGTACTAATGTCCGAAGTCGAACAAAACGAGCTTCAGGGTTTTGTCGTTCCATTTTTAGCGTGATTAAATCTTTTGTGTGGCAAATAGGATTAAAATCCAATAAGTACGTAGTGGCGTTAACAGGATACATGCAGTGTTGAGGTTAATCTAACCGTAAAAATAGTAGCTCATACAAAATAAACCTGAAAGACCAACTTAAAATTTTGCTGCAACTTCAAGGACTAAATTTATAATTTATCCGTTTTATATTTACTTTAGATTTGAAAGTGGCTCAAGCTTGTCCAAATTAAGCCGGTTGCTTGCTTGTCGTTTTCATTATATTCATTGTGTTCGTCATTCGAATTCTGTCCTTGAACGGCTAAATAAAACTTTTGTATTTGTACGTGAATCACGTTATGCCATTAAATTTTCCAATTTACAGTCTTTCAAGTATGGGATTAAACTATTTGTACAATGTTTGATGGCAATATATGAGTTGAGAAAAATATATTTGTTAAAAAAATTAAGTTGTTCAAACTGTCCAGTGACATGATGCCATGTGATATGTTGTAAACAAAATTAGGGGCGGGTTGATGCACATATTTGAGAAACGAATGCATTTTATGATGTGATGTGATGGAAAATATATAATTAAAAAATATGAAATTTTTTTAAATTTGCGTGTAATATTATTTTATTAAAAAATGTGTGGTTGAAAATGAATTTTAAAAAAATAAATTTTGAGAAAAATGTGGATCAAACAGGACTTAAATCCAACATTGTACGCCAAGAACGATTTTTCTAGTTGGTGGTTGGTTTTCCACTTCTCCTATGTATGGATGTATTGAGGTTAGTTGAATGCTTAGGCGCTAGGGATATAAAGTTAGTAATATATCAACATCATTAGTACAAATACTGCTAATAATTGTACTCTGAACGATGCAAACTGAAGTCCATGGTTGAAATTCACCTTTTCCATGAAACACGAGAGAAACGAGAATTAAGCTCGTGTTTGGTACACATTAAAATTTTTATTTTCATTCTTCTACTCATTTTTACCACACATTTTCAATAAAATAATATTTTCCATTACATCAATAACTTTTCCTTCTTTTTTAACCACAAATTCTCTATCAATCTACTATTCCAGAATACATTCCTCTAAAATAATGTGAATCAAATACACTCTAAAGATCATGGCTCAACTATCGTTGTATAAATGACTTTAAGACAGTTCGTCATTTACGTCTTTACTATTTATCATGGATATGCAACGAATGGACCGTTTGTGAATAGTTATGATATAATCATTGTTTATATCCAATTACTACTGAAATTGCCCCCATTTATATACATTTGTTAGCGCCTGTTTGAACCCCATTTTTAATTAAGAACTCATTTTAGAATACTAGATCGATGGAGAATGTATAATTAAAATAAAGAAAAATTTTGGATTTGCGTAAAATTATATTTTATTAAAAAATGTGTGATTAAAAAAAAGAGAAATTTTATTTTGAAAATAATGAGAATCAAATAAGTGCTTATGTATTATAAAATCATTTATCATCATCTAGTTCTAAAATTTATCACAATCTCACAAGAACTTAAAATTACGATTTTTTTCCGGGTCATTAATGCTTTGGTTAACTATATTATTACGGTTGTACTACATGTACATCACAGTTTAATTATTTTTTTATCAATGATGATGTGACAAATTTTGATTTGGTCAAAATTTCATCAATTAAATAAAAAAAGAAACATCCTCATTCTCTTGTTAATACATCACCAATCTGTAAAAGATTATATAAATAGAGATGTACAACAAGTATTTTTCATATTATTACTGCAGTTTTTATTTATTGCACTAAAATCTTCAGTTTACTATTTTTATAATATTTATGTTCCTAATTTTTTTACATTGATTTTTATCTCTATTAAAAAAATTCGATTTACATATAAAATATTTTATTGTGTAAAAACGTGATTGAAAATTATTAGGTAGGAAAAAGAGTTCGAAAAAATAGTTGTTTAGGCTAATGAAAATGGAAACGTGACGAAAGTGAAAACTAATGTTAGCCAGCAAGCAACACGGCTTGAGCCGTTTGCACCCTGAAGGTGGGTCAGTACCAACGTGTCAACATCTAGACCTCTAAGATATTTTATTCACAAATCAAGAGGCTAAGGAATTCAAAGTAGTCAATAAAATATCCAAGGAAACAAATTATCCAACATCTGTCACCAGTTATCCAATGAAATTGCGCCACCCATCCGAAGTGGTAACCTGTCTCTTTTAAATCAAGAAATGGTGCTGCTTTGGAAGCTTGTACACGCTGTATTGGACACGTAGAGAGTCAAACATCTTTTGTGGGGTCCACTTTTTTAGACACCTGTGCTATAACCTACTGTATGTCAATCTAGGATTTGCTGTAACATGGGCCTATATTCAAATTTGGATGTGATGTAAGAGGATGTTTTTCTTTCGTGAGATTTCCTTTACAAATGAACAAGTGGATGGTGCATATGGAGAATCTATGGCCCAATTTAATGAAGATGAAAGCCAGATTTTTAAAATATGTGTTTAAAAAGTTGTGAAACTTATGAACTATTTTGTTAAAATAAATTGTTTACTTTCCCTATCAAACGGGTTATTCATCTCCACTTTTTAACAAGCGGCATTAATATTGATTAATGCTATGAGTAGTACTTATATGATAGTGGAGTTACTCTTATATTGTTCAATAAAATTGAGATGCATCAGTCAATAATATTATGGTAAATTTAGGGCGTGTTCGGTAGAGATTAAAATCAAATTAAAATTGAAAAAATAGCTGTTATTTTTTATTTTTATTAGACGAGTGGGACCCAATAACGACTATATTTTCAATTTTAATTGAAATTTAAACTCTACCAAACATGCTCTTAATGTGCAGACCTGCAGTTAGCGAATTGTCAGCGAAATCTCAATTGACAGTAATTATGGACATTCCACATAATCGTTAGGTAGCATCTAAAAATTGAAATACTGAATAAGGATTATTGCAATATCATTAGATTAGAATTTTAAAGTATGTGCTTTTTTAATTAGCACTTTTATAATATGGTGTAATGGAAAAAACGACATGCCGCACAGCGATTAGGTGGAAAATCTTTTCTGGGGGGGATTTTCCAAAATAGCCTGTAAATAGTGGCTTTTTAAGATTTTTGTTAAAAGGTCAGTTTTACCTTTAATGAAATGGGTCATTTATTGCAGATCCAGTCCTCAATCCTTATAATTTTTTCGAAATTCGTTTTATTCTTGCTTTTATTCATCATCACTAGCCGTTTCTTCT